TGTTGAGAAAGTGTTTGTTGATCTTTCAGTAAAAACCCTTAGAATTGAAAATTTTAAAACATTTTAACGTGATTTATGCATTCTACAGATACTACTGGTGCTGCGAAACTCTAATTTATGGATGATCCAATCAGAAGCCTTCTAGTGATTTCAAGTTGACGGCGCCAACTTCAGTGCTTCATGCTAACGTATGATTGGTTCACAGTGAATTTCATACAAGAAATATAAATTGAGCGACTATAACACATAAAACGGCGAGACTGTAATTTGTGGTCGAATCAATCAGGTATATGATAAAAAATCATGGATTTTAACGCGAACGCCTTCCATCCAATTGGCAAAATAAATTTCTGGCATTGTAGCTGATGTCAGTTCGTGATGAAAACTCCATATATAATTCATAACTAAGGCAATTTATGACAATTGTTGCGAAACGGATAATAAAACCACCAGTAACACTGGCTGCAGTCAGGTACTACAATATACACGGTTGATTGGAGACCGTACACATTCCTACATAGACTTGGTTATGTGCATCGTGTCGTTGTTCACAAGTAACATTTTGTGTACTCAACAACCAAAGTGGTCAATGCTGAAAGAGTTTTTGACACTTTATCATGGCTCTACATGCCGACTATTCTGTAGCCATATGGATGACATCCTCTGCCGTTTACATTATGATTTTAGAACCTCTAAACCTCTTTCTAACCTTGACAAGTTTTTGAACCATGTAAAAGAAGTGCATTCATTTTATTTCCTTGGTTTTGTTTGATATGTTTCTACTCTATACTTACTGTTTGCTGTTTGGCGAATATTTTCAAAGTCAATTAAGATTCGTTCAAGGGTCGTTCATAAATTAAAGTCTTGCCCCGGTGCTAAACTTGGTTGAGGAAAAAGGTCCGAGTATAGATATGGTTAGCAACTTTATCCTGTATACAGGAATCCTGCTAGATAAATGCTAACCAGATATTATCTGGTTTAAAATAAAAATTGTTCCACTCCGACTCCTGTTCTTTACCTTAACTTCAAGTCCGAACATAATTCATCGTCTATGGTAACATCCATAAAAACTATTTTCTGATTAGTTAATAAGTCAATAGTCTATTATGATTGGTGTATAGAACTTGTACTGTCTCAACATAATTAGATCTTTCTATCACTACAATGTTGAGTTACTAAAATAAGCCCATTACATCATCAAATGTTTTATTGAAACTATGAAATTACTATGAGAAATTGTAAGGTAATTGTGGATTTTATGGTCAACATGTTTGATTGATCTTTCTTTGATAACCATTAGAAACTAGGAGGTACCATGGAGCGATTCCTTTATGGTATGTAACTTCATAACAGTGCTGAAGAGTGGTTTATTTAAGTAAATAAAAACAGATTTGGAATGTGTCGTATTTTTCATTGGTTGTCTAGCTGAGGTTAGTTCGTGATGTTCACTGTTCAATTATGAAAGATGAAATACTAGTTCAACACTTAGCTACTGAGTATGGGTAGCCACTGGCTTGTGTAATGAAGTGAAATTTAATTAACATACATTAGTTGTTTGAACCTTTCCAGAAATTTTTACCACTGCAATTGATCAATCTAATTTGGGATCTATCCATCCTATCCTGATTGCTTCAATATTGATAAACTTCTTGACTCTGAAGCTAAGTGAATATTGTTATGGCATTTGAAACAAACCATACTGTTTTAGAGCTACAGATTGAGCATCAACTCTTAGGTGAAGATACATCGAGCTGTGGAGTCTCATGTAGGATGACAAATACAACCTGAATTTCACATTTATCCATCATCAATCTCTGTTTAGAATGTTTGCAACTTGAAAACAATATCCAAGCAATTCTAACACTATGTACATATGCCAAAAGAGATTGATTCACTGTAGTCACAAATATCAATGGAAATTGTCAAACAATAAATAAAACGTTTTGTTTTAATTAATTAATACATTAACATGATAACATTACAATTAATTAAATGGAAGTGAATGACCTAATTTTCCATTTCTATATTCAATGTGATAATTGAATTCCTTCATGTTTGATTTAAACATTCTAGCCTTATGTATATATACATAGTTTATTACCTACATACTTACTTCTTTATGCTTGTAACTCACAATGGAGGAACATATGCCGCTAACTGGCATTCTACAATCCACTCTCGCCTAGGCTTTCTTTCCTAGTTCTATCCAATTTTTGTTCATTTTTCTCATATCCGTCTCGATTTTTTAACGTAGTGTGTTCTTTGGTCTTCCACTTCTCTTTCTATGGCTTTGAGGATCCAATGTGAGGATTTGCCTTGTGATGCAGTTGGGTTTTTTCCTCAATGTGTGACCTATCCACTTTCAGTGGTTCTTCCTGATTTCCTCCTCCACTGAAATCTGATTTGTTCTCTCCCACGGTAGGTTTTAGCTGATGAAGTCTAGCCAACGAATTTGAAGTATTCTACGTAGTTTACTATGTTTACGCATAAAATTGACATTGATACGTCTGTTTATTGGTCCAATGATTGACTATCGTAATTACCTTAAAGTGAAACTGAAACGAACGTAAAACTATTTTACACCTTAGAAATGAATTACCAGGGTTCGAGTCCCTTCAAAGAAAAGTAATCATGACATTAAAAATTAATGATTGTTAGTAATAATTACCCATTAGCATTAAATTCTGTTTAGGTAATAATAATGTTCCTATTTGTAAAATTGTGTTGTAAGTGTTCTATTCCAAAGGAATCATCAGCGCCGTCAAGATTCATTAATAATGGATCTCTATTGAGACATTGGAGAAGATTCGACAAGAATATAATAGTTAAAAACAGACGAACAAAAGAGAAGAAAGTCAAGAGACAGGCGGACTATACAGAAAAATACACACACTACAAGAAGAGTATTTAAATTGATGAGTGAAAGATTTAGAAGGTCTGGAAAATGCAGCGATAAAGGTTGCTAGAACATAAAATATAAAAGATATAAGTTATGTTACCAAGTAGATGGGAAACGAAAAAATGATATTTTAGAAGAACAGGTAAAGGATAAAGAGGTTTAATCAATCACTGAAGATTATGAACAGAGGAACAAACAAGAAGAATACTTTGGAAGGTTCCTGAACTGACCAGCCTCACTCGTTATACCAAACACAAGCAGTATGTGCAGAATTTCTTACAAACAACATACCAGCTGAATCAATGAAGTTAGATGGGGAGATAAATGTACACATCCTCCAGAGTTTGTTCAGAAAAATTTGAGAGGAAGAATATGTGCTGACAGACTGGAAAGAAGGATATTTCACAGAGATACCAAGAGAATGTCTCAGTAAATGTGAGAATAACAGAACTATATAAACAAATTAAAACACCAAATCTTGAAATACAAAAAGTGTTCAGAGATGAAGTCACAATTGATGCAAAGGCTCTGGAAGAGGTAGAAATTTTTGTATACCTGAAAAGTATAATTGATAATCAAAAAAGATCTGATAAAAGTGTGAAAGCAGAGATCAGTAAAGCAAGCTTAACTTTTCTAAAATTGATGAACATATGAAGACTAGTAGAAAGCGTTCACAAATCATGTCATCATATCATTAATTTAGAAATATTGATTCTCTGCTGACTAATGTCAGTATTTCACTATTTTTTTAGGACACAATATTTGTGTGGTTTACTTGATTGATAGGGTCCGAAGTCTAGGAACTATGTTTATCGAATACATTTTGCCCCCAAATGCCCTGGTATGGCCGAGAGTGGGGAGAGTCCGCTCTCCCTCTCGATATGCTCTCACATGGCCACGCGTACATAGCCCCTGCCAGGGAAGTCCTACTCACTGCCTTCTCGTGGCATTACTGTTGTTTACGAAAATGAGAGGACGAAAAGCGAATTTCCGGCGCTTTAACCGGATCTCAAATCAATGGTGCACATGGGCTCCAGTATCCTGAAGGAACAATTGGCGTATGGACCAATCGTTGTTCACCGGCTACCATGGGACTGCATCTCCTCACGATGCTCCACTGCCTTGTGGATCAGATCTTCAGGTCAAAGGCTCGGGGTGTGGTCCCCTAAGAAAACCACCTGCTTAAGTTTGAGCATCCGGGCAGTATCACAGCCCTCACACAAATCGATTGAGATTCGTGTGGCGCATATGTATTTTGTGCCTCCTTGTACCAATACCTATTTGTTAAAATAAAATAAATAAATAAATAATATCGAATACATTTTACTTTTCTATATCTGATTATGTTATGCGTTAACACTTAAATAGAAGTACCAATGTTCATAATAAAACAAACACTTTGTTAGAAATTTTAAATAAACTCGAAAGAGTCGTTACTATTCAATCAAGAAAATCAAGCACCAGAAGGGCTAATGGAATCTCTCAATAAAATGTGTGAACTATGCAGTAAATATTTCATTTACAAAATGTCAAATTATTGCCTCAAACTTTACTGTTCCTTTTATAAATATCAGTCAATCGTTTCAGATACCACTATGCTTACATATTCCCGTTATTCTCTTCTTGATCTTTTCAATTTCCTGCTCCAAGAAATTATATTTTTGATTAGCGTTATATACTACTTATGTCAATATAAGTAGCATACACCACAATACTTCTAAAACTGATACTCAACTGTCATCAGTTCATTATGTTATGTGGTGATGTTGATGATTCGAAACAAGAACGGTAAAATTTACACTTTACTTTGAAATCGAACTAATTATCCAGTTGTCATTCATGATTACAGTATGCTTTAGTTAATTTATTCTTAAAAATAAAGAAAAAATTTTTGAAATTCAATATTTCGAATTGTTGATTCAATGTCGAGCAAATATTCTAGTGATACCAATCGTTTATTGGTTAGATTGCCTGTTCTAATCCTTGTATTATGATTGGTTAATACATTTTCTATGTATATGATTGGTCAATCATAATTAACCAATCACAGCAGCCAATAAAATTTCACCTATATATATATATATATATATCTAAAGCTGTCAAAATGGTCCCTTATCTTGAAATGGTTAAAAAACATAATAGTTAATAGTCATACATTAGTTACTAAGCTATAACATAATACTATGAATTCACTACATTTAGATGCAATCTATGAAGCTAAACGTTTATTGAATGATAATATCTCATTTATATATTATGTTAATAATTATTCTGATATTAAATTAAATGAATTATTAAATAGAAATTTAACATTATTTTGGAAAACGATGCATCAATGTTTAAATTTAAATGATTTAATACAACAACATCAACATCAGCAACAACAACAACAACAACAATTCATCTTATACAATCATACAGTTGTCATAGCAACTAGAAATCAAACAAATCCGCTATATTCTTCAACACAATTACAATCTTTATTTACTTGGTGTCATTTAAGTAGAACTACATGGTTTACTAATGTATTTACATTAATGTATCATTATTCATGGCAAGAGAAACTATCTATTGAATTACAAAAATATTTATTACCTATATTATTATTAATAAATTGTTTAAGTCTACTCATATCTATTACAGGTATTTATCAATTATGTAAATTATCTAATAAATGTAATCAAAAAATAATGATTTTTATGAGATGTCAATCAATAATACAACATTATTTACCAGCAACATGGCCATTATTATTATGGTATTGTATTATTGGGTTACTATGGTTACTATTAATATTTGGTTTAAATATGATAACATCACAATATTTTAATATTTATATTACTATACATCATTATGATATTTATTGTCGTTTATTAACATATTTGAAAAATATATTAAGATATATACCATTATGGTTAATTAGTTTAATGTTATGTGATCGAGCAATTGGTGAATATCGTAATCGTAATCATATTTATACAATCAATATGTTATGTAATCATCTTGATCATGATTGTGAATTAGAAATTAATAAAAATCAATTAAATCAATTATCTAATCAATATAATCAATCTATGACAAATTATCAATCCATTAAAAATCAATTAATAATCCCTAAAATAATCTATAATCATAATGATAATAATGATAATAATCATGATAATGATGATGATGATGATAATAATGATGATGATGATATAATATCATATGATATCAATTCTATTGATCAATATAATCAATCAATAAAAAGATCCTATTTCAAATCATGTTTATTATATTTTAAAAAGAGATCTTATTTTTATTGTATTTTATATGGATTAAAACAAACATCTAAAAAACAATGTAAACAATTAAATAGAAATAAGAATTACATAATGTCATTAAAAAAATGTAATAAGGATCAAGATCAAGATCAAGATCAAGATCAAGATCAGAATCAGGATAAAAATAAGAATAAAGATCACAATCAAAATCATTATTATCATTATCAATTATTATTAAATGATTTATATTATTGGAATGAATGTGGTTTAAATCGAATTGGTGGTTTAGTATTATTTACTATGATTACATCATTAATTTGTTTAATTAATACACATTTAATATGGTTATATAAAATTGGAAAAATAACAAAACGTTGTATATTGTCTGCTGGTGATGCTATCATTTTATCTGTTTTTTATCCATATTTATTAAAGGTAATGTATTGATTATCATTGATTAATTTACTTTTTTTTTTTAAACATTATAATCATTTATTGATTTTAGATTAAAATCATGAATTGATTAATGTTGAGCTATCATTGAAACCGTGGAAGAAATGAATAGCCATTTCATTCTATTGTATAGTTCCTTAACAGTGCTCATTTACACTCTTGCTGGTTGGAACCATTTATAGCAACTCACATTCAATTGAGTTTGCTCTCACCTAATTCGGTTAAGCCCTTTTATTAACTTTATTAAACGGACAAAGTCACTTGCACTATAATAACTTATTGTATCCTTATTACTGTTGCGAATGTATGTACCTTTATTATTGTTATCCTTGTATGAATATGTATGCTCGGCAAGCCTTACTGCCTACGCATTTATTCACGCTACTAGCTTTACTATTAACCGCTTAATTGACTTGATGATTCATTAATTTCACTATGTATATATATATGTCCATGTTATTCATATTCATGACTCGCTCGTTCGTTCATTCACTCGCTCGATCGCTCGCTCTTGCCCTTGCTCTCTCTCTCTCGCTCGCTCGCTTGCCTGTTTGCCTTTCGGCATAACTATTTCATGCTTGCTTAACGCATCTGTAATATTAGATATCTGTGTGTGGTCCCATAATAAACGTAATTAACACTTCGTATTCGCCTTCTGATTAATATACCGTTGGAGCATTATTTGGTGACGGTTACCGAGACGTACTGTATACGGAGTTTAAGGAATATATCGAACACCGACCACCACACACTGTTCTGGTATCCAATGATGTTAATATCTGAAGGCACTTAGTGTTACGGGAGTACTGAAAACATTTGACTGATTAAAATCTTTATATTAAATATTGTTAATTTCATTGTGTTTTTGGATGTTTTAGATGTATTTGTTTTATTCAACTTTTGAAGTTGTTTGTTTCTATCATTATTTTCGAATATTTTGGTTTCTGTTTGTCTTTGATTTGGTATCTGGGAGTTTTTCCTTCGGGAACCTACATAATTGAAGAAGTTTATGTTACGTTTAAGTTTTTGCTCTTTCCCATTATTGAAGTACGGGATATCGATCTAGTTGCAAATTTAAGAAGCCAAATTAACAATAGAATCAAACTTCAATTTAGGTACCAAAGTTTATTCGCAATTTACAAATAGTCGATTAAATGTTGTTCTTCAATTTTTTTATGTTCCCAGAGCAAAAACTCCCAAATACCAAACTAAAGACAAAGAGAAACCAAAAATGTTCGAAAATAATGATAGAAACAAACAACTTCAAAAGTTGAATAAAACAAACATCCAAAACATCCAAAAACACAGTGAAATTAACAATATTTAATATAAAGATTTTAATCAGTCAAATGTCTTCAGTTCTCCCGTGACAGTTGGTTCAAATCTCGTGAGCGGAATTATAGATGCGTACTGTTATAAGAAGTCTCAATACATGATGACATGGCCGTCCAATGCTTGCAGATTTTCAATGGTGGTCTAACACCAATCAGTTCATGGTGTCAATCACAACCTCAATACTGATATTCATTGATTGTTATTTAGTTGTAAATGGTTTGATTACCGGCTTCCTCTAACTAAATAACTAACAACTTCGTATCATTTGAATTGTTACTTACTTACTTACTTACTTACTTACTTACTTACTTACGCTTGTTACTCCTCATGAAAAAGAATAACTCGCCCAGCAACACTATCCATTCAACGTTGTGCTGAGTAATCATTTCCAGTTTTTATTCATCCTTTCTATACATGTTTCTATTTCCCGACGTAATGGCCTTTCTCTTTTTTCCGCTTCCCTTCAGCATTAGGTCAACAATAGAATAAAAAAGAAACCATTGCTTATTACTCTGTTGTCAATTATCTGTAAAGAGTTTGATTTATTTCATAATATATATGGTCTTTGAACTAGTCAATCTTTATCATGAACTAAGCAACCTTTACCATGATGGCATGGTAAAGAAGATTTCTAACTGAGGAGAATAATCTTGATTAAGTTACTTTACTTGAACTGGATAGTTTTATCATATAACGTTTAACTTATATTTAAGATAAAACTGAGCTCTTTATAATTTTACACATATGACTAGCAACTTGTTTTGTTTCATTGGTCAAACTTCTATCAAGCTGAAATGTGTGTACTGATTAGTTACTATGTAATAGCTAGATCAGCTACAATTTTCATTGAACTATTCCCAGTGATCTAAGATCATAATATTGTTCATATTGTAGGGAACACGAACATGGGTGGGGACAATCGAATGGATTGGACACAAAATAACAGGATCTATCAATAAAATCTGTTCGACTGTCTTATGTCCCTGCTGCCAGACATTATGCTCACGAGTAACATCACGTACTTACTTACTTACTTACTTACGCCTGTTACTCCCAATGGAGCATAGGCCGCCGATCAGCATTCTCCAACCCACTCTGTCATAGGCCTTCTTTTCTAGTTCGATCCAATTCTTGTTCATTTTTCTCATGTCTATCTCCATTTCCCAGCGTAATGTCTTCTTTGATCTTCCTCTCCTCCTTCGACCTTGAGGATTCCATGTTAAGGTTTGTCTCGTGACGAAATATGGTGCTCTCCTCAATGTGTGTCCTATCCACTTCCAGCGCTTCCTCCTGATTTCTTCCTCCACTGGGATCTGATTTGTTCTCTCCCACAGTAAGTTGTTGCTAATAGTGTCTGACCAACGGATCTGAAGTATTTTGCGTAGACTCCGCTTGGAGTCCCTCCGGAGACTACTGCCGGTCCCAAGTCTAGACAAAGGAGGAGGGTTAGGCATGGGGTTAGCGACGCCATCCGGTAGAAAACTAATTCGCTAAAAAAAACTGTAACCAGAAAAAAATTACTCAAACCATTTAAACATTATGTACTACTTATGTCTAATATAAGTAGCGCACATCATAATATGATATCAAGTTATTTAGTCTGATAATGCTATTAGAAATGGATCGGTAAAATATAATAAGCCTAAACACAAATTCATTCATTACTCAATAGTTAGTCAGTTATGTATATATATATATATATGTACAAGTAATCTTCAAACTGAAGAATACTCATATCATTTGCATAATACTTTTTCATAATATCTTGATCTAATGCAGAATTAATCCTTTATTATAAATGTTAATTACTTAATCGGTTTATGTGTTAAGAAAACAGTATGTAAATAGTTCGAATATGATTTTCTATTAAGTTTCCTTAAATCTTAATTGATTGAATCAATATTCAATTAGAATTGATTATGAAAGAAGTAGACGAAGAAGAAGAAGAAGAAGAAGTAGAGGAAGAAGAAGTAGACGAAGAAGAAGAAGAAGTAGAGTAAGAAGAAGAAGAAGTATACGAAGAAGAAGAAGTAGACGAAGAAGAAGAAGAAGTAGACGAAGAAGAAGAAGTATACGAAGAAGAAGAAGTAGACGGAGAAGAAGAAGAAGTAGACGCAGAAGTAGACGAAGAAGAAGAAGTAGACGAAGAAGAAGAAGTAGATGAAGAAGAGGAAGGAGAAGTAGACGAAGAAGAAGTAGACGAAGAAGAAGTAGAAGAAGAAGAGGAAGTAGACGAAGAAGAAGAAGTAGACGAAGAAGAAGTAGAAGAAAAAGAAGAAGAAGAGGAAAGTATTCATAAACTCTAATGGAATAAATAAAACATATCGATTTAGTTGAAAGAGATTTCATAAAGATTTATTGAATAATCAGATCATATTTGTTTTGAATTGATCTGAGTTATAGTATGATCAAAATAGTAAGATCATATTTGTTCGTTGTATTGTTCTAATATGAAGTATCTCTAATTGAATAGTTCCATGATACCATATTATACTGTTCAACTGGATGATATTATATTCGAAGTAAATAAAGTGACTATTGGATCCTTTGAAAAGTTTAAGTTATTCTTGTTGATCATTGTAAACTATTACGAAATCTAGATTGATATGGTAGAGAAGATTTGTAGCTGTACCATCTTAAAATCATATGATCATAATACGTTTCTTGTTATTCAAAAAGAGGAGAATTTCATGAAAAGTCAAACTTCCACTTAAGAACAACCATATTTTCTCTAGGAGTGTCTTTACCGGCATGTTCAACCTACAAGTGTAAGATACAGATCTCCAACCAACTGAGGAAAGTGGAAGAAAAATGCTACACTTAATAATAACTGATTGTTTGTTTGTAAATACATAGTTGACGTGAAATTTACGCCTTTATAATTCAAATTCAAATTACAAACTTTAATCAATGGATCTTTAGGATGACTTTGGAGGTTTATCATTAATGGTACTAAGCATATGAGGTGGTGCATTATTTATTATTATTTATTTTAACACATAGATATCGGTACTAGAAGGCACCAAATACATATGCGCCACACAGATCTCATTTGATATGTGTGAGGGTTGTGATACTGCCCGGGTGCCCAAACCGAAGCAGGTGGTTTCCATAGGGGGCCACACCCCGAGCCTTTGACCTGAAGATCTGATCCACAAGGCAGTGGAACATCGTAAGGAGATGCAGTCCCATGGTAGCCGGTGACCAACGATTGGTTCATACGCCAATTGTTCCTTCAGGATACTGAAGCCCATGTGCACCATTGGTTTGGGGTCCGGTTATAGCGCCGGACATTCGCTTTTTGTCCTCTCATTTTCGTAACCAACACCCTCGCCACGTGAAGGCAGTGAGTAGGACTTCCCTGGTAGGGTCTATATACGCGTGGCCATGTGAGAGCATTTCGAGAGGAGGAGCAGACTCTCCCCACTCTCGGCCATACCAGGGCATTTGAGGGCAAGCGGCCAAAGCCGACTCCTCGACCGGGAATCGAACCCCGGCCTTCCACGTGACAGGCGGAGATACTCACCACTATACTATCGAGGAACACAGGGGGGGCGGAATATGTGCAGTTCAAGATGAAGATATTTGAGATGTTATTGTTTCTCATTGATTATTCTTTTGAACAACATCATGAGCATGTACTTTAA